GAAAGAGCTCGTGTGCAAAATCGGCTCGTGTTCGAAATTGGCTCGTGAACAGCGTGTTAGTGTTCGACTAGATTAAAATATTTGTGTTTAAGAGTAAGGGCAAGATTTAAACCTTTAAAATATTCATTTAAATAGAATTTAATATATATTCATTATATTTTTTTTAAATTAATAATTTTAATTGATTATAAATCTTTGCTCCCTTGGGGTCAAATAAATTATTTAAAAATAATATTCATCAATTATATATATATATATATAATTATTTCGAGCTAAAACGAGCCGAGCACGAACAAATTGTTTATTTATCGAGCACAAAAAATTTTTCGCGCTCGACTTGTTTACTTAACAAACGAACCGAACACGAGCTACTTAACGAGTCGAATACAAGTTGTTCGTGAACAACGAGCTTTTTTGACAGTCCTACCTCCACATACATGTTTTCTATATGGTATAAGAGCTAGGAAGCAAACCCTAGATCTTATTTCATTTGTCAGAGCCTTTTCAACAGCCCACCAACACAGGAATCCTCCCTATAGCCACCATCACTGCAGGTCGCTTTTGGCCCCGACTCCTACTTCTTGTTCCTTTGAAATTCTCCCTGAATGATTTTGGTCCCCTACAGGTGTCTCCCAACGAGATCCTACTGCCGCAAATCTTCATTCTCGCATGTGAAGCCGTTCAAAAGGGTCATCCCGACCCTTCTTGTTGTCATGGTCACCTCCTTAGTTCCCTCGTGTGGGACAATTCAATAACAAACTCGTTCGACTTTTTCTCTGTACTCATCTGCTTTTCAGGCAATCGGATTTCTACATGTCAGAAGATATGTTCTTCCCTATAGCTTTCCTTGTTGGCGTCCCGGCGTCCGTATCAGATCTCTCCTTGCGGTTGTTCCATGCAGACTTCCCTTTCAGGCTTCCGCAGTCTTCAACTTGATTTCTCTTGCCGTAAGAATACTTACTGCAAGACTGCCTTCGCATTCCTCTGACGTTGGAACTCACACGCGCAACCGCAATTCTCCTGCTGCAGGCCCTCCTCAGTCGAAATCCTCTTGTAGTTCTCTTCAACCTGCAACCGAGTCTACAACAACAGCAGCTGCCCTAAATACGCATATGGTTTATGATCAAGTATGGGATGAAGACGTTGAGCTCAATTCTAGAGATTCATTATGAACCATTCACCAAAGAACAGCACTAAGTACTGGAAAAACTCATGAAAGGTAATTTAGAATAGCACACCAACCTTGTTACACACCAAGATAATATATCATTCTCCGATTTTGCAAAAAATTTAGAAATTAAATAAAAAATTCATGAGCCTCTGATCATATGATCAAAGACATCAACGCTCTGGTCAACTATCAAATCGCTTCTACATCTAGATCGGTTAGACTTGCAGATGGATCGCACTCAAAAATAACTGGAAAACTCTCAGGATATCATTTTGTCCTCTATTTTATATTTTTCAGAGTTGGATACAACTTGATTTCTATTAGTAAGCTTACTCATGATATGAAACGAATAATTAAATTTCTTACAAACTTTCGTGAATTTCAGATAGTGGAATCGAGGAAGATGATTGACAGTGTTGAAATGCATCAATGTCTATATCTGCTCAAGAAAAGTCATTCTATAAACACAGAAGTGCTTCCACCCTCACTTAGACCTTTTCTGAGTCTATTGAATCTTTGTTGAAAATCAAGTCATGTTGTGGCTGTCGATTGACTTTTTGATTTAAAAATAATTTTTAAAATTTAATTTAATATTAGACGTATATATTTTTATTTTAAAAATAGTGTGATTTAATATTTGAAAAATGAGACCAAATAGATCCCATTCATCTAATAGTCTATATAATCGTGTCTGATACCGTGAATACTACACCTTCCCAAAAGATAAAGGTATACATCGGCAATAAACTCAATCATACAAACTAAGAGATTTATGACATTTGTTTGGTCTGCGAACCTTTTATGTGTGACCCACAAGCTGCCCTACCTAATACAAAAATTAAATATGGTTTATTTTACCTGGGTTCTAATTTCCCTATAGAGGCAAGCCCCTATAGTTAATTACATCTCAAATAATTATGGTTACTTTAGAAAACTTTCGATAATTATCAGATATACTAGTCTTCAAGAATTCAAATTTTAGGTTTTCACGGTAGGACGTAGAAAAACAAGTGAGAGTGGCTCAAGTAGAAGCTGTTATTTTCAGGAGTCTGAGAAAGAAAACGGTACGAGACGTCACAGATCCTGAGGAGAGCCCTCAGTGAATTTCCAAAATATCCTACTGTGTGGTTGTGTTTTGGAGACGGTATTATTTGAGAGTTCAATCATGTCAATTTCATTATTTAGGACTTACACTTACATAATACCCGATTATGCAAGTAGCATAGAAAGATAGGAGGGTTTACGCCGTACCGAACAACAACCTCAGAACCTAAGGCGGGTTAGAACTTACGTTGCACAGTATGGTTGCACAGGAGCCTAAAGAGGGTGTGAGGATTTATGTTGTGTTGGGCAAACCACCTCGAATTTCTATGAATTGTTGTTCAGACTAGAGAGAGAGAATGTTGAAGAATATCCTTTTGTTGCTCAATCAAAGCTCCTCGCAGTGCTGCCAACAAAGTTGGTTGTGCGCCTCCTGTTGTAGTAGTAGCTACAAGGTTTAAGGGTTCGAGGTTTGACCAGGTATGTTTCAATGTTCCGGGTTTTGTTGTTGTTATTGTTGTGGTTTTGCATGTAAAGTAAATAAGTGTAGGTAAGAAAATACTGTGAAGTAAATAAAGGGAAGGGCTTCGGCTCAGAGAAAGGGAGAGAGAGAGGGAGGGGGTAGCTTTGAGTGAGTCGAATGAGGAAGCTCGGGTGTCAGGTTGAATCGAGAGGAGAGGGAGTTCAGTGGAGAGGGAGATGCGAGCCAGGTGAGGGCTTCGTGCTAAGAGGGAGAGGCGGGCAGCTAGGGCTATTCGGCGAGGAGGGGGGCGAAGCCTGTGAGACTCATGGTGCAGAGAGAATGTGACGACTGCGGGAGAGTTGAATGAGTATTTGATGCAGAGAGGAGGAGGCGCATGGGATGTGAGGGCTTCTGTGCAGAGAGGAAGAGGGTGTGGTCTTGTCGAGAGAGAGGAAGGGGGAGTCAAATGGGCGTTCGATCTCTGAGGTAGGCGAAGCAGTCGAGCAGGATTTCTTTCTACGTGAGAGAGAGGGAGTCAAGCTGGGGAAAGGAGGACTGAATGCCAGGAAAGTGAAGCCCGTCGAGTTGTGTAGCTCTAATATTCAAAGTGGACGTTACGCGAGATTAGGAAGGGAATTAAAGGGATTCCATTCATGGGGAAGTTTTATTTGGAAAATAATAATTTCCAATTAAATTTAATTAAGGTGAAACTGAGTGGTTGATTTGAAATTTGAAAATTCGAATTTCGAAATTACTTAGCTCGTGTTTAGCCCACTTCAAGCCCGAATTGAACGTGGGCTGAGCCTGAAACGCACCCCCTAATACGATATTCAGGTGCATCAATTTTCATGCTAATGGCTCGCGCGCGGATCCATAGCAAAATGGGTGTCCTTTCTAACTAAAGTCAACGTCCTGAAAGCGTCTGCATGGTCTGTTTCGTCATGCGAGATCGTCCGAACAAGTTCTTCGACATGTGGGCCAAAAATTTGTCATTTTATTCTTTTTTGAATTTTAGGGTTCTTGTCGGATTATTATGAAAATTAATATTGGTTTAACTGACAGTGCAATGTGTGTGTCAGTGACATGA